AAAAAATTATATAAAAATATTATCCCTATAGCATCACCTATTTAGTTTATACATTTATTTATTTTTATTTTTTTTAAAATAAATATATAAAAATATTTTATTTCAATTATTTTTTAAATTTGTAAATAAGCTTCCGACTACCAAGCAATTGTCAGATTTTTTTTCATTATTTTCATGCATCTTATCTTCAAATGTGTTAAGTTATTAATGCAATCAAATGAATTTTTTAGGTGGGATTCCCTAGGTAAAATTGTTAGTTAAGAAACGTGAATGATCACTTTGGTTAATAGAAGATGACAAGGAAAAAAAAAGGAGAAGGAAAAGATTAATAAAAATTTAAAAATAAAAGAAAATGAAAATAAATAATTGTTTTCAATTGTGAATGTAATTCTGTTAGAAGTACGACAAATATGATTTGTAAGAGACTCAAACATGAGCTCGATTTTATACCTATAAAACCTTTCTTTTCCTTCATATCTTTCCATATGAACTAGGCATAATTTCGGACAAAGAATAATATAATGTACACATTTTGCAGATTCTCTTTCCAAAACTGGAGGAGTTGAATTTGTCCTCGCTTAATATTGAAAGTATATGGAGCAGTCAGCTTTCGACAATATCTTGTTGTATGCACACTCTGACAAAATTGATTGTTGAGGCCTGTGATCATTTGGAACACTTATTTTCATCCTCTATGGCTAAGTGTCTGGTTCAGCTCACATATCTTGAAATTAAAAAATGCAAAAGGATGAGAGAAATAATTGCACCACAGAATGCAGAAGAAATGGAGGATTTGATTTCTTTTCCTAAGTTAAACATCCTGCATATAAATCATCTTGATAACCTCAGCAGATTTTGCTCCAGAAACTATAGTATTGAATTCACAACCTTGAAGGAATTGCATATAAGAAATTGCCCAGAATTAATGGGGTTCATGGTCAATACGGGCACAGATGTTGAGGATGGACTACAACCCCTCTTAAATGAAAAGGTATAAATTTTTATTTCACTTTCATTTTGGCCCTAATTTTAGTAACTGATTTCGTTCTCATTTATATGGATAAAATTTTTAAGTATAAAATGTCTACACTTTGCAGGTTCAGTTTTCCAGCGTTGTGCATTTGAAACTGTCCTCATTGAACATGCAACAAATATTCCCGAAACAACTTTCAACAATGTCTTCGGTTGTTCAGAGTGTAGAAGACTTGACTCTAAAAGGATGTACTAATTTGAAATATCTATTTACATCCTCAACGATCAAAAGTTTTGTGGATCTCAAATTTCTTATAATTCGTGATTGTACACTGATGAAGGAGGTAATAGTAACAGAGGGATTAGTAGAAGAAGAAAGGATTTTGTTCCCAAAACTTGAACACCTACAACTTGAAGGCCTTCTCAAACTCAAAAGATTCTGCTCTGGATATTACTTGGTGTTCCCCTTCCTGACAGAACTTGTGATCGACAACTGCCCTTTGTTGGAGACGTTCATCTCCAATTCTATTGCTAGCAACCAGAAGGCCAATGAAAGAGTAGAAGAAAAGAATTTGAAGGATTACGTCCATACTTATACACCGCCTCTCTTCAATACAAAGGTGATTTATTCTTTTTGTTTTCGCCTTGTTCATTTCCTTTAATGAACCTAGTATAATTAAAATTTCAACATTTCCAAAGCCTTTTCTCCCTTTTTTCTTTTTCCCTTTTTTTCAATTTTTTTCCCATAAGTTTTTATTTTGGAGTAAGTGCATCATTCCTGCACTTTGAGAAGGAAGCAATAGAGACTAATGTAATAATTTGTAATAACTATCCATAATTAAGTTCAAACATTGATGGGAGAATTAATAGTGTGCTTTGGATTGATGTGTTTGGGGGGAAGGAGATGAGAGTGAGGGAAAGATGTCTCCCTCCCCTTGGTTAGATTTCTTCATTAGAAGGGAGGGAGACAGACGGGTAATAGAGTCCCTTTCATTCCTTTATTTTACATCCCTCAAAATTGGAGAATTTGCAATGGATTTGATTTATATATTTCATTTTTTAAAATAAATATATAAAAATATTTTATTTCAATTATTTTTTTAATTTGTAAATAAGCTTCTAACTCTTAAGCAATTGTCAGATTTTTTTTTTTTCATTATTTTCATGCATCTTGTCTTCAATTATGTTCAGTTATTAATGAAATCAATTGAATTTTTTAGGTGGTGTTCCCTAATTTAGAGGAGCTTTTTATCTCCCAGATGGGGAACTTGATCAGGATATGGGATGAACAACTTGATGAAGATTCCTTCCACAACTTGATGAAGATTCCTTCCACAACTTGATGAAGATTCCTTCCACAAACTTTATCTCCTAAGTGTAGAATATTGTGAAAAACTATTGAATATTTTTCCAGTTAATATGGTAGGGAGGCTACAAAACCTAGGCGAGCTGCAGATAAGTGATTGTGCTTCGCTAGAAGAAATATTTGAACCTCAAGGACTAGATGCTGATGAATCAGAAGCACAAATAATTGCTCAATCGGCTTTGGTGGAAACAACCCCTAATTTTGTATTTCCAAAAGTAACATCTTTGGATCTTCGGTGGCTACCCAATCTCAAGAGTTTCTATACTCAAATACATACTACAGAATGGCCATCATTGAAAAAATTGGATATGGGTGGATGTGATAAAGTGCAGATACTAGCTTCAGAAATTCTGAGAACAAGTGGAAAGAACCAACTTGAAATCCAAATTGAACGCCCTCTGTTCTGGGTCAGTAAGGTATAAACATCTATGACATTTTAAATTGAATATCTTTTACTAATGTATATTTAAAAAGTAAACGGAAAAGTGGAAAGCTATGAGAATTAACTCAATAGCATTAGGGTTTTTGAATCTCAATTTTGCCAAACGAGCAGAGGATTTACTTCAGATACACGTTTCATCCTTCTATCTGTGTACTTTTTCAATTCTTTCGTTAATTTTCAGGCTACATTTCCCAATCTAGAAGAACTGATAGTGGAAAAGAATGATGACCTGAAAGAGATATGGCATGGTGATGATGATGTCAAGAATGACATTATTTTTACCAAACTGAAGTCTTTGCAACTTAAATGTCTTCCAAGACTAGTAAGCTTCTGCTCAGGGAATTGCAACTTTGAATTCTCGTCTTTGGAAGATGTAATTGTGATGGGGTGTCCAAATATGATGACTTTCTCTGGGGGAGAAGTAAGTACACCTAACCTGCAGAAAGTAAAATTCACAGAAGATGAAGGTGTAGAATGTTGGGAAGATGAAGTTGTAGAATGTTGGGAAGGTGGCCTTAACCGTACAATACAACAATTGTTTGCGGAAAAGGTATCCACTAATTCAAAAGATACACTTATATATTTCATTGCTAAAGCTTTATTTCCTTCTGCTTGATTGTCCTATTGCAGGCATGATCAAATAAACATGGTAGATGATAACAGTAAACTCCACTGATTATTTTTAGCTTGAAAACTTTTTCCTACAATGTTGTGCCTCAAGTGCTGATGGCAACTCACTAAAGAAGACTCATGACTGAACTTATCCTTTTACAAAAGCTTGGGTTAGGTTGATAGCCCTTTGTTAGTCATGTCATAAAATGCAAGCTAGAAGCTACTGTTTCCTTTTTTGTTTTTTCAATTTTCCCCTTACGAATTTTTTTGGATTTCTTGTGTAATAACTAGCAATATATTGAATTTTGTAGGTTGGATATGCTGTGGTAGAGCATCTGACACTCTCGCAGTTTCTTGAGTTGATGGGAATAAGGAGCAAGAAACCTCAAGAGATCTTGAATTTCAAATGGCTTTGCTCTCTAGAAATTTGTAATTGTGGTAACTTGAGATACTTGTTAACTCTTTCCATGGCATTGAGCCTTGTTTCTCTCAAAAAGATGAAAGTACAAAACTGTGAATTGTTGGAGCAAGTCATCTCAGAAGAAGGGGCCAACTTGAAGGACGGCATTGTTTTCACCAAACTAAAGTCTTTGGAACTTAAAGGTTTACCGAGACTTGAAGGCTTCTGTTTGGGCAATTGCAACTTTGAATTCACATCTTTGGAAGATTTAATTGTGATGGCATGTCCATATATGATGACTTTCTCTGGGGGAGAAGTAAGTACACCAAAACTGCATAAAGTGAAATTAATAGGAGATGATGAAGATGAAGGATGTTGGGAAGGTGGTCTTAACCCTACAATACAGCTTTTGTTCACAAAAAAGGTATTCATTTGCTCAAAGGATTTCCTTTTGTTTTTCATATTTTATAGCTCTCTTGCGATCAAATCAAATAAAGTGCAAGGTTGTGGTAACTTCATAAATTTTAATTTTGAAGATTTTCTTGCAATTTTTGCTTTCCTCCTTTAAAACGTTCCTTATGACCTGCAGAGTGTTGTTGACTCTAAAGAAGACTGAAATTTATGCTTTATAAAAGCTAGTGTTGGTTTGATCTTCAATATGGTGAGTGGATTCTCTGATTCCATCAACTTTACTCTTCTGATATTTCCCATAAGGACACATCTCTTATACAATCTATACATGTTTCTGATTTCTTCTTACTGACAGGTCATATGGCTCTGGATTTTAGTGACTACAAGCTGCAAATTTCCTTGGCACCTATAATATTATTTAGATTTCTAAAACTAGTCTTCAGAGTTTTTGAACTCCTTGTGTGACTTTGTCTTGTTAATATTTAATTTCATGTCCTGGTTTGGTATTGTGGTGTTAAGGACAATATTTAAACCTTGCGTTATCAGAATATATGTATCTTAGTACAAAAAATGTGGTGTGTCTAAACTTTGGTACTGTAGCCTCTAGACATTTTTTTTTTCTTTTGCTGGCTTGGTTTTGAACATGATGTTGCAACAAGATTTCATATGAATCGAGCTATACGTTGTCTTATGCACCTTAGTTGTAGTTTCTTGACATTCGCAAATCCTGATGCTGTTTGGGTTCTACTGGTAAGGATTATGAATTTCCATTGTGAAAATTTTACAAAAAGCAATTCAGACTACCACAAAAAGGAGAGCAACGCCAAGGTTTGACTAGGTTAGTGGTTAGACAATAAAAACACATTATAATTTTTTTAGTGGATACTTATTTTTTAATAAATAGTTTGATTCTCATCTTGACAAACTATTACAGAAACAAAAAGTGCCTTACAATCACATTTTCTTTTATTAATCGCTAAAATTGCATCGTAAAATAGTTATTTTTTGATATATAATACAAAATTAGTACTTATCAATTGAATTTGTAAAAAAAATAAAGTAAAAAAACATTTAATGTTGTGATGTTGTAATAAAGTACTGTTAAAAAAATAAAATAATATCATTTTTATTTAAAAAACTAAAATACTATAGTATTTTTAATAAAAATTAATTAAAGTAATATAATTTTAAAATTTTTTTATCTTATTTTTTACAATACTGTTAACAAACATTTTTTCTTATATAATACTATGAATTTTTCTAGGTTTTCATTATTAATAATATATTAACATTATGATAAACGCTAAACTCAACAGTTAGATTTTGTCATAGTTATTTAAATTATTACCAAAATGTCAGGGACTCGGGGAAGTGTTGCGCAAAATTAGTACCCAACTACTGTCAATTTCCTTTTGAGAAAATTCTGTTAAAATGGCTTAAGAAAGAAAGGTGGATAAAATAACTTTTGTTTTCACTCATATCCTTGACAAATTCACAATGATAATTGGAAAATCCGTGATATACATTATTGATTATTCAGTGTCTGTTCTTTAACAAAGCTGTCAAATCTCTTGCACCTGAACCTCACGGCTAATGATTATATATAGATTTGTAAGGTGCACCCCTTTATTTTAAAGGTTTGGATTTAATTCTTTCTACTTTTAAAAATTATAATATTATTTTAAAAAAAAATTAT